AAAAAAAAAAAAAAAAGCTGAAACATGGACCAAACACACAGAAAAAAAAAAAAAGTTTAAAAGTGAAACTCATCGTCTTCTACATATTTCTTCCTCCATTTATCTGTAACTTCAGTTTTCCAACACATTTCTGTAACTTCAGTTTTTCAACACATTACAAATTTGGAGCTAAAATTTTGACGAGGTAAAATGAAATTCAGATTCAATATTTCAAAATTTTCATCAAGGAGCCAAAATCCACCAAGAGGTCCATAAATATGGATATTGATAATTTAATTGAACCACACATTAAGAATAAATATTTGCAATGGCTTCAAATATTTTGATCGATTTGAACGAACCTCCTTACGACGTCGAAGATGAAGTGCCGAGATCTTCGGAGAACATTATAATCGAGTTAAATGTTGATGACGGCCCGGAAATTGGATACGCTGTTATCGAGCTCGACTTAAATCAGCTTTTCGAAGAAGATGACGAAGCGAGGTCCGATTCATCTGTGGAAGAGACAATTGGCCAGCAAGCCAATGACGGAGAAAGAAATAGAGACATAGACGGAATACTTCAAGGGCACGTAATATCGGGTGGACAAGAGATTTTCAATGAATTTGACGGTCGGAATGGTGAAACAGGGGAAACAAACCAAGGTGAGTTTATTGATATCAACTTTTTCTGCTTGCTTGATGTTTTTATTTTATCCAAATTACCTTGACATGATTGTTCATTGTGTAGTGCATTTTCAAGCAAAATATTTGGATACATTTCCTGTTATTTATGTGCTTCATGCTAATATAGAGTGTAACTTTTTTTTTTTTTCTTAAACTAAATTAATATTGCTTGGTACTTGACTACATCGAGTATCGAATGAGAAAGGAAAAACAGGGCCATAGCTTCAAAAATCATTTCATTCAGGTTCATTATAATTACTACAGATTAATAATCTTCATAAAAAATTGATTTTAATTAATCTAGATTCTTTAATTTATACCTGGCCAATCAGTATAAGTGGTCATTTCAAGTCCTAAAAATGACCAAATTCTGTAATTGTGAAAAAAAGATGTATGCCTGTAGAGAGATTGATAAAAAAGGAAAAAAGTAAAAATGATAATGTTTGATAGCAGCATGTTATGTGGGGATTCATATATGAAAGTTTTTAGTTGTCTTTGTGGTGACCTCTTTTGTGTGCTAGAGAGTTATGATAATTTTATTTTCTTCTGCAAATAAACAATTTTTGATTAGTTCTTTCTAGGTTTTTGTTGGCAAGATATTGTAAGTTTCTACTTTGTTTCCTTTGTTGCAATATCTGTGTAAAATTTATTCGCTAGCAACCAAACTATCTTTGATGTCAAGTAATTAAATTTAAAATTCTCTCTAGTTTCATGGTTTCATTGTTTGGTTATCTATGTTAAATTTTGTTACTGTTTTTTTAATAGGCAATGTTCAAGGGAGAAAGAACAGGATCCTAACTGACGTTGAACGATGGGCAGTTTACCGCACTTTGTTGGAGAAAAGTGTAAATGGTAAATTGAAAAAGAACACAACAAAAGAAGTGAAAGATATGTTCAATATTGAGCTGCGAACAGTTCAAAGAATATGGAAAATTCACAAGAGAACTTTACCAGGCTCAGATGTGGATGTTTCGTCGAGGAAGGCACGGAACTGTGGTCGTAAACGAATTGAGGTAGATTTTAGTAGGATTCAACAGATAGAGTGGCACCAAAGAACAACACTTGCATCTCTTTCTAATGCTTTAGGAGTTAGTTACTCCAAATTGTATAGACTTTTTAAGCGAGGTGTTCTACGTCGTCACTCAAGTGCCATCAAGCCACATTTGAAAGACGAAAATAAAATATCGCGGCTAGAATTTTGTTTATCGATGCTTGATGAAAGCACAACGTCGAACGAGCCAAAGTTCAAAGGAATGTACAACTATGTGCATATCGACGAAAAATGGTTTTACTTGACAAAGAAGGAGCAAACATATTACCTACTCGACAATGAAGAAGATCCTCATCGTTCATGCCAAAGTAAAAATAACATTGCAAAAGTTATGTTTCTAGCTGCCACGGCGCGTCCTAGATTTGATGGTGAAGGAAGAGTGGTATTTTCGGGCAAAGTTGGATGTTGGGCGTTTGTCACTGAGCAACCAGCCCAGAGAAATAGCAGGAACAGACAAGCTGGCACAATGGAGATGAAGGCGATCACATCTGTTAAAAGAGAGAATGTGAAAGCGTTTTTGATTGAAAAGGTTATCCCATCTATTATTGAGAAATGGCCTAGATCTGATTATGGAGAAACTATTTATGTCCAACAAGACAATGCTAGGACACACGTTCTTCCTAATGACCCTGACTTTGTAGCAGCAGCCTCACAAAATGGCTTTGATATTCGATTAACTTGTCAGCCCCCTAATTCTCCAGATTTGAATATACTTGACCTTGGGTATTTTAGGGCGATACAGTCGCTACAACAAAAAATGTGCGCAAGGAATATCCCTGAGCTTGTAAGTGCGGTAGAGAATGCATTCTCTGACTATTCACCCATCAAGCTCAATTACGTGTGGCTGACATTGCAATTATGTATGAAAGAAATCATGAAATTGGGAGGAGGAAATCGATATAAAATCCCTCACATAAACAAAAACCGACTTCAAAGACTAGGTCAACTTCCTACACAAATTTCATGCGAGTCTACCTTAGTACAAGCGACTAAAGACTTGTTAGCAGCACGACTAGGTAAATCAATGCTAACCTTTATTTCTCGTCTTCATATATTCAATATTATTGATAATATTATGATTTGCTTGTAGGTAACAGTTCGATTGGAGATGGATTGGAAGAACTTTAGTGATGTCTATGAAAAATGATGGCCTCCTTCAAGTCGAGATGTGCTGCTTTAATGTTGCATATGAATTTAAAGTTTTAAGTCTTCTCTGAGTTCGATTGCATGTTTTTTAGTCTCTTGTGGATTGCATTGTGGCCTTTTCATGTTGGTGATACTGGTTTTAGTAGTTTCTATATCCACTGTATGCCTTCACCTTTTCGAGTGTTATTTATAGTTGTTGCTTGGTTGGTTGAAATATTTTAATTCATGTAAGGGTGTCTGCCTATTTCATTGTTGAAGATTCTTGTCACCCTTTTAGATAACTATTCATTTTGGTTTTGAATAATTTTATATAGTCGGTTGCATTCGGACCTTAAACTGGGAATACGTTCACGTCACATTCTACGCCAATGTCGTAAAAATGATTCCAGATATCAATATGATTATGTGGAAATGTAAAAATATTACAATGCACTTCATATCCCTTAAGTACCAACCATTATCATATTCACTTTGAAACTTACCTGAAAAACACCCCAAAATCACTTGATGAAAAACACAGATCACTCAACAAAACACAGACACCAAAAAGTTTTAAAAAAATAAAATAAAATAAAATAAAACCCTTCTTCCTAGTGAGTTTTTTTATTGGTAGTAGGAAATTTTTTGTATGCTCACACAAAGACCATATTGCAGTTGGCCTGGCATTATGGGTCTTGAAAGGAAAAAACTTGGTTCTTTCTTCTTAAATAGAAACATAGGGCCATTGTTCTTTGCTTACCAGACAAACACTTTTTTTTTCTTTCTTACTTATAAATCTACATCGCTTTTCTTTCGTCTCGGCTACTCGTTATAGAAAATAATTCCTCGACAGCATATATTCGTTTCCATAAAGAGTTGTACATCACACGATTTGATTTAAAAAAAATGTGAGTAAAGATTACGTGTCGAGAATGAATTCGCAGGCCATCGGAGTTTATTCGCCAACGAGAAGTAGTGGTGCAGAGATGTCGACACCGGCTGTAGGGTGGGAGGTTCGGCCGCGCGGGAGTTTGGTTCAACAACGAAGTTAGGACTCCAATCCTAACTCCAAACCTGTCCCAAACATCAAAGTCAAAGTGAAATATGGTTCATCTTACCATGAATTCATCATCAATTCTCAAGCCAGTTTTGGTAAATGTTCTTGTTTTTTTATTTTTTTTATTTTTATTTTTTTTTTTATTTTTTTTATTTTTTTTGTCAAAGTGGTCGAATTTTACACATCCCTTTTTCAAATAAATAGACTTTCTAGACATAATGAAAATGGCTATTTTCAATGTATTTTTTACTCTCCTTTAATTTTATGTTATACATTGATCAGCTTTTAACTTGATGTTATTTTTTCTGGTGTTTTGAAGGGGTGCTGAAGAATATGCTGGTGGGAATAACAGGGCTGCACAAAGGGGATCAGAAGCTGATTTTTAAGGATAAAGAGAGAGGTTAAAAAGCTTTTCTCTATGTACTATGAGGCAAATGTTCCTTGCTTTGATCCAAGTTCAGTTTTAACCTTGTTGCTACACAATATTGCAGCTTTTTATGGCTGTTTAAATAAAAAAAAAAAAAAATCTAATGCACATAAAGAAAAAAACCAAATGGTGATTACAAGAGAATGAAAAAAAGAGTAGTTTTTTCTGGCTTTTTCCCATTGTTCAGTTCCAACAATCCGATCAAGATTGTCAAGAAAATATATTCTTTATGCCAACAGTTGAACATGCACAAAGAAAGACACTCATGTGTAATATTATTACTCTTAACATGTTAAAAAAACAAAACTGATATACAGAAAGAGGGTATTAATTGGTACTCTAATTTTTTTCCCCTTATATTTGGTACTCTATGAAATGGGATGAGAAAGCAATTGATGCACACTTCTTCACCTGATAGTGTCCATGAGACTTATTTAGAGAGGGAAATTACAAAGGTTTTAAAAAAAAACCATAAATTCATCCTGCTAATGTTGATGGTTAACATTTAATATTGCAAATTGTTGGATGTCAAATGGATGTCACAAAAATCACTTTTGAGCATGTATACCTCACAAAGACATCAAAGACATATGCATAGTCTAACTGTATTAAAATTTTCACCTTTGATACTAAGAATAATGAACTGCTTTTCTATCCGGAGGATTGTTCGAGTAATCCATGAGAAAGATTCTAGAGGACTATGCAAGAATTTTCATTTGACACACAGAATTATCTGATTTATTTCATTTGAAGTATAATTCACCAAAAAAATAAAGAAAAAAAAAAGTTCTTATTCTGAAGATAAGAATGGATTTACAGTACTTTTGCACTCATGTGAAACAATATCGGTTTTGGATAGCAACACCACGTCATGGCAGATGAGCTTCCCATTGAATTCTACTTTTATATGGGAAAAAAACACGTAATGGCAAGTATAACAAAAATCCATGAGTTGGTTTTGGGAAAGCTATATTGAAACTATAGAATAGATTCAAGTTCTGTATTCTATTAAATCACAAAAATAACAAAAAAAAAAATGGAACCGCAAGAAAACAAGGAGGTAGACTCAAGAGGTACTCCACAGCCAATATGTAACATAAAAACTTCTCAACATTAAAACTCCCATAACACATCATCATCCAAATTGCAATTGCAATATGCCATCAAACCTCCAGAGAAAACAAAAAAAAAAAAAAAACTTTACTCGGGCAGATAAACAACAGATTACTCGGGCAAAAAAAAAAAAGACGAACAAGAATATTCGCTCAAAGCAAATCTGCCGCGTTTTCCGAACGCTTTTCGGTAAATAGTGTTGGCACAAAAATTTTCAGCATCTCATCCACAATTTGATCATTGGGACACAAAATTGTTTCACCAACAACAAGCTTCTCTTCACTTGTTGCACTTTTACCTTTTGAAAAACTAGTTCCAGTTGCAAAGCGATTGAGGCGAGAACATTGATGAACATCATCTTCAACGTCTGAATCAGATACATAAACTTTAGAGGACTCTGTTGAATCACTAATTTGCAAAGCGATTGAATGAGCAACATCTAAACTTGCCTTTGTCTTCTCTATTAGTTGAAGGACTTCATCCACAAGAAGTTTGTGAGATTCAATAGATGTAGCGAAGTGAATTTCTGGATCTGATTTTGAAACATCATAATCTTTCGAATCCATGAATCAAAGAAAAAAAAGGAAGGGAATAATAGAACCAGGATTTTTAAAAAAAAAATAGATTAAAAATAGACACACACCAATGATGGAAGATGGATTGGAAAAATATATAGAGATGTTGTCAAGATACCAAGCGACTTCTGCCATGGAAGAGAGATTTCACGGGAAAAGATGAAGTTGAATGTGAAGAGACGATGCATATAAGGTGGAGGGGGGTAAATATGGAAAAATACTGAAAAAAGACTTAGAACGACAATTATTTAGTAAAAGATCACAAATGCCAAAACGACAAATAAAATGAATTGGAGGGAGTAGGTGATAAATGAAGAAAACTATAAAATTTAGTTGCAGAAAAACAAGCTTGTGGTTTAGACGTTAGAAGTGCTTATAAGCTTTAGGAATAGACGTTTTAGAGACATACAAGCTTACAAACGGGACGTTTCTCTTAACAGTCGAGCTTCCCTTTTAGACGTTTTTGGGATCATGTAGCTTTACTATAAAACGTTTACATCCTTTGTAAGCTTAGCTATTAGACATTTTGTCTACGTTCTAGCTTTTACCTGGGACGTTTAATGAACGAACTTAAAACCTAACCTACATCTATTATCACTCTATTCATTCTACCATACTAATCAACCCCTCACATTGGTTTAATGAAGCATATATGAAGAGGATTTAATGATCTAAGTCCTAAAATAACTCAAACTCTTAAAAATCAAGAGATCTATTTGTGAGTGAAAATCAATGTAAAAAAAAAAAATTAGGGGTTAACATAATTTACCTCATTTGCATATGTCCTCGATGATGCTGGATTACTAGACATGTGGATTAATGAAGAATAATGTAGAGATTGTTAGGTAACTTTTAATGAGAATATATGAATTTTGGTAAAAGTGAAGAAGAAAGAGATAGGTAAAAATAATAATTTAGATAAAAGTTAGTAAAATACTTTTACTAGGACATAAATGTAATTTCTATTATTATTAGTAGGTCAAAACTGAACCGAGACCAGGACTGTGGAATCGAATTTAGAAATAATAAATAAAATAAATCTTATTGTTCGATCTCCAATTGTCAAAAGCATTCAACGACCCAGATTATTGGGCTACCAACGGTCCAAAAGAAAATATAGTGGGCCGTCTCGAGGGCCGGCCTGGACCAAATTTTTTTATACATAAGGCCCAGAACCGACCTAGTCAAACTACGAACTCGGTTCTGGGCCGGTTCAGGTCGAATTGGCGGGCCGGTCCAGACCGATCCATGGCCATGATTAGTACTCTAAACCCGTAAAATATAAAAATATACACTAAAGAACGTGCATACAATACATCTACTTTGATTCGTTAAAAAATATACATCTCTACTTTGATTCACTAAAGAACGAGGTCTTTTATGTTGGACTAATGGCCTAAGGGAGATCCATTCATAATTATGAGAATTATCTATAAACTAATAAAAAATTACGATTCTATTTAAATATGATTCTATTAAAAAAAATATTTTATTATTATTAAATACGATTACGATTTTATTAAAAAATATTAAAAATAAGTGTATATTATAAGAGAAATGCTATAGGTACATATTATTGTACATAGGGTGTACATAACACTTACATTGAGTGGGATCCACCAAAAATAAAAAAATCAAGTAGACCCCACTCCATGTGAGTTTATGTACACCTAATTTTACCATACCATCAAATTGGAGTATGATAAGTATGGGTTAAAATAATCACGTAAATTTCGCGGCCTTGGCAAGCTCACTACACTTATATGAATATCCAACCCACCGTTCAGGCCCATTTGTTTGAGTCGTACAAAAAAAAAAAAAAACCCTAATCAAAACAATCATCCGCCTACAAATTTCAGCAGCCAACAAACAAAGCTCCACGAAATAAGCTTTCGTGGAGCTTTATATGGGATGTTTGTTTTGCTTCAAAGCTTAGCAGTTGGACGTTTGTTAGGGCCACAAGCTTCACTTCTGAACGTTTCTTCGGCTTCGGAGCTTTGCTTTTGGAAGTTTACTTTCACTGTCGATCTTCCATTTTGGACTTTTGCCTGGCTTTCAAGCATAGCTTCTAGACGTTTGCTTTCATAGGTGAGCTATAATGTAGGACGTTTAGTATGCATTAGAGCTTAACTCTTGGACGTTTCACTTGGCCTCAAGCTTTTCTGTTAGACGTTTAGCGGCATAATAAGCTTGCAATTTAAAAGTCTTAAATGTGTTTTCCCTTCTCATTTAGACGTTTCTCTTCAGAGTCGGGCATTCCAGTAAGATGTTTGCTTGACTTTCAAGCTTTGCTAC